CGGGGTGGTCCTGTGGCTGTCTCCTGCTGGCTCAGGGCAGGGGGCCTGGCGCCATTCCTCTGGGTTCGCTGGGCCCCTCACGCTGACTCCTGAGTGGCCACTGCTTCTTCAGGGCCAGACCCTGCTCCGCTGCTGCCTGGAAGAGACTCAGTTTGACCAGGACTCCTGGACCCTGAGCCAGAGCTGGACCCTGTGCTGTGCGGCGGCCTCACCGCCCTCCCTCTTGGGAGCCGCAAGTGGGTTTGCTCTGACCTCGTTGCTCCTAGCATTTCATTTCTGACATTTGTCCCTGACTGGAGCAGGGCTCTGTGGCTTGCCCGGTGTCCCCTCCCCAGGCCCCTGCATGCACCAGGAAGTGTTCTGGGAGTGGGGAGAGGTTTGCTGGCCGCCTGCGGTCAGAGCAGGACCTTCACAATGGCCCCTTGTGTGCAGGCACATTCCTCCTTAAACAGGCCCAGATCCAGCTGCTCCTGCTTCGACCCCGCGGGTGGGCGGGGCCTCCGAGGTTTGCACATGGGGCGGGGCGGGGTCTCTGCTGCAGCTGAGGTTTGACGGACAGGAGAGGGCTAGGCTTTGGGGCGGGATCTGCGGGCAGGCACAGGTATGCACAGCCAGGTTGGTTTAGTCACGTAGCAGGTCCAGAAAAGGCAGGAGCATCTCCTGGAGGAAAACACCCCCGGGATGCCACCCAGAGGCGTTTTCAGTGAGCGTGCGTGCGCCCTGCACGTGTGTGCGAGGAAGCCACGACCTCTGCCCGCGTCCGCCTTGTGCTCTCCTGTTTTACTGCACAGTCTCAGCATCGCTCATGTTCAAAACCTTGGTCTCCGTGCCTGCGTGGGACCTCGGCATGCAGGTTCAGGAAGTCAGTGTAAACCTGAATTGTTTCCAGTGTTTGCTGTTTTAACACTGATAACGTCCAATAAATCTTTCTGCTCTTCTGATTATCTCCTTGGGATAAATGCCCAGCCAGGGCCCAAGTGCGTGAATGTCCCCGGGCTCTTGGTGCAGGCTGGGGAGGGCTTCGGGGAGCAGGCGAGGTTTGTGCCTGGCTTTGGGGGCAGAAGGAGCATCTGTGTTTCAGAAAGGGGGTGGCAGAGGGGGCGCACCCACCCTGTGGGGGAAGCAGTATCACTCCCTCCCAGGGGCCCCGGATCTATTCGTCTTGGGTCTGGGAGTCCACTCTGTCCTGTCCCCCTGGGCTCTCTGGCCTGCCCTCCGGCTGCAATAACATCCTTAAGGCCGAAGGGGTGGCAGCTGGTGCTGCTCCCCAGCGCGGTCATGGAGCGTCTCAAATACACACAGTGACAAGCTCATGAACACCCGCTGGCTTCCGTGGCGCGTGTGGACACCGCTTGGCTGCCTCTGCCTCTGCAGGGACGGGGAGGGCGAGGGACGTGAGTCAGTTACCCCGGGTATCCCCCGTGGGGGCGGGACAGGGTGTGTGCGCGCGTCTGAGTGCCATCTGAGTTGTGTTTCTAGAACTCTGATCTCTGATCGGGGAGGAGACGCTGGGGGACTCTGTCCTGCCAGCTTTGTGACAGGCTGTCTCCTGATTTGTCCCAGCTGGGTGCTTCTGGTGTCATGACACCCTCGGTGGAGAGGCAGCTGTGCACGGGCGGCCTCGGCCGAGCCTGCCGTCACAACGATCTGTCCGCCCCCAAACGCTGCGGTGTGAGTTCAGGCAGCACCAGGCGCCTGGCGACCTCTCTGTCCACCTGGGGTTTTGTGAATCCAGCAAAGGGAAGAGGAGGCAGCTCTTCCTCCTCTGTATCCTTCGAAGACACAGCAGTTCTGGAGTCGCTCGGCCGCATGCCCGTTGGCCTACCTGCTGAGTCTGGTTGGGACTGGACAGGGCCAGGGTGCAGCGCGAGGTGGCCACGGAGGTGGGGGGGCGGTCCTGACAGTCACAGCCCGGAGGCTTCGTCCTTCTGATGGTCCTCGTGTTCGTTTCCTGGGGCCGCCGCAACAAATCAGCACGTGCTGCGTGGCTTCCACGACAGAACTTGATTCTGCCCCAGCTCTGGAGGCCAAGAGTCCAAAATGAAAGTGTCGGCGGCGCATTGCCCTCCAAACACTTGAGGGGCGCGTCCTTGTGGGCCCCTCCCCGCCCGGTGGCCCCGGCGCCTGGCCTTGTGGCTGCATCCCGTCTCCGCCTCCGTCCCCATCTGGCCTGTCTTTTGTGTCTCTGTCTCATATCTCCTCTCTGTTCTCTTATGACGACACGTGGGATTTTCAGCCCATCCTGAGTCCTTCCCGTTAATCCATCTGTGAAGACACTGTTTCCAAATAAGGTCCCGTTCATAGGTCCTGGGGGTTAGGACTGCGATGTGTCTTTTGGGGGACACTGTTCAACCCACCGTAGACTTAGAGGAAAGGGGAGCTTCTCGGGCTGAAAAGGGAGTGAAGACCTGGTGCCTCCCTGCTCTGGGGCTCCCCAGGGCTCGGTGCCTGCAGTCACACCCCTGCAACCGGTTTTTAAGTCACGCGGAAACTCTGGATGCCCATGAGGGGACAGAGAGCGGGGTCGTGGCCTGAGACAGGCGAGGACATCAGGCTGTGTCCCCAGGGGCCCCTGAAACACCCCTGAGGCCCTGTCATGGCCTGGATGGCATGGGGAGGGGGCAGTGTGAACTTCGGGGCCCAGGGGAGGCTTGGAGGGGACTCAGAGGAGGTGGCGTGCTTGTTTCAGGGACGGTACAAGCCATCAAGGGCGACCCAAGCAACCCGGGCACTTGCTGAGCAGCCGCTGTCCCAGCGGTGGGAACACAGTGCTCGTGGGGAGGGATAGTGTTGGACGGTACGCACCAGGTGTATAATATAGCTGGACAGTAAGCGCCAGGTGACACAGGCCAGGAGCGACCTGCGCTGCGGAGGAACACAGCGCAGCGGAAGGAGGGGCGGGGGTGGCGCGTGCGGCCGGGCACACGCACGGGGCAGTGCACCCGGGCCAGGCGCCGTGTCCCCAGGCAGGGCAGGTCCCAGGTCATGGCCACCGCCGGACCGAGGTGCCCGAGTCCGGCAGGGCTTTGCCTTGGTGCCGTGACTTAAATCCTGGTCCAGGGTCTTGTTACTGTTCTCCTGGGCGAACCTGGGAAAGCCTCTCCCCCACCCACTTTCTGTTCTTCATCTCATCCCCAAAGAGCCAACACCAAGGACATGCCTGTCCTTGGAGGTGCCCGTGCAGGGGTGGGGAGTCCCTCCTCCAGGGAGCCCACGGACAGACAGGAGCTGCCCTTCGGGGGCGTTTGGATGGTGCTCTCGGGGGAGGGGCAGACCGGCTGCTGGGAGGTCGGGGTGCGCAGCCCTGGGCTCTGTGTCCAGCCCGGCAGGCGCCCAGCCGCTCCTGGGGGCGCTCGGGCTTCTTCGGCGGGGCTGGTGGAGCTTTGGTCACGGCAGCACCTAGAGTGGGAGGCGGTGTACGGACCCCCCGGGTGGGTGTCCAGTTCTCTTGACGCTGGACACTCTGGCCACAGTGGGCCACACGCCTGGGAGGCAGCAGGTGTGTACCCGAGACGGGTGCGCGGTGACGTGCCGGCGCCCCAACCCCCCACGGTTCCTCCGAGGCCGTTTGCAGTCCCTGCTGGGCCTCTCAGATGCCTGGGCTTTGCAACCCAGGATCTGGTCCCTGCGTCCACCGAGAAGGAGGTGTGCCCAGGACCTAATTAGAGGGCCTCCCAGGGGTGCCGCATCCAGGGAGTGGGAGCTCAGGTGGCAGGTATCTGGGGTGGGGCCCCCTGCGCATCCTCCCCCGGCCAGCCTTAGGTTCGCACGCCCCCCTGGCCACCTGCCCACCCAGCCCCCAACCAGGCGTCTTCTGAAGGAAGTGCTGTCTGCTGGGAGGACTTGAGGGCTGAGCTGGAATTCGGAGAAAAGGCGCGGGGAGGGAGGGGCTGCTAAGAATGGCCCTGGAGAGCGGCTGTTGGGGGCTGGGGACCCGCTGCAGGTTGGGTGGGGAGGGAGCAGTGGGGTGCCCTGACGCTCTGGGCTCTGGTTGGAGGCGAGGAGAGGGGCTGGGGATACCGCGGTGGCTGCGGGCCGGCCTGCGGGAAGGAGCTGGTGAGTGTCCCTGCCACGTGGGCCCCTTCCTGCTCTGGTCTTGATGACTGGGAGCAGCTGGTTCTCGTTTGCAGTGCGAGGGCTGTGAGGATGGCGACTTCTTAGGCACCGTCCCCGCCCCCTCAGGGGGCAGATCCTGGCAGCGGGGTGGGAGTCAGGTGGTCGGGAGCAGCTCTCAGCTGGGCGGGGGCTGCGGTGGACCACGCCGGGGGGCTGCGATTCCGCCGGAAGCTGGGCAACCACATGCTGAGAACCCTGGGTCTTGCAGTCAGACAGACGCCTCTTCTGCCCCGCCCCCCACTGTCCCTGCTGCTGGGCACATTGCTTAAGCCCTGGGGCCTCGGTTTCCCCATCTGTCCGAGGCGACAGTAGCCTTACTGACAGGCAGCACAAGGTTACAGTGAGTGGTCCGTGTGACGTGCACAGTGAGCCTGGTCCCTACGTACTCGACGTGGTCAGTGTCGGCTCTTCACGCTGTTACGGACACGACAGTGTCATTCCCATGGTGACCCTCGTTGGTGACAGTTGTGCTGCTGTGACTGGGGACGTGCCCCACCCCCCACCCTGCTGCTGCTGGTGGTGTCTCGTAGGGGAGGTGAGGAGGGAGAAGGGACAAGACAGCAGTCAGAGGCTCCCCTGGAGCCCAGCGTCTGGATGGGAAGTGTGGCTGGGTCCCCGCTGTAGCCATGGCAGGAAAAGAGAGGCCGCCGTCCTCCGGGCTCCAGCCTTTTTTCTCTCCCCTGAACACGGCATTGCTGGTGCCTCTGGGTCCCCTGGTGGAGGGGGGCCGTCCTCTTGCCTTTGTGAGAGGTGAGGGGTGCAAGAGCCCACCCCGGGCTCCTGGCTGCAGCGTTCTCGCTGGCTACCTTGTGACGTTCCCGTGCGCAGGAGGCCTCCGGACGCTCCGAAGCCGCCCGCTCATCACGCCTTCCTCTGTCTTTCAGCCTTGAAGAGGTCCTTTGAGGTCGAGGAGGTCGAGACGCCCAACTCCACGCCGCCCCGGAGGGTCCAGACCCCCCTCCTCCGGGCCACTGTGGCCAGCTCCACCCAGAAATTCCAGGACCTGGGCGTGAAGAACTCAGAACCCGCCGCCCGCTATGTAGACTCCCTCAGCCAGCGATCCCCCAAGGCGGCCCTGCGGAGGGTCGAGCTGTCGGGCCCCAAGACCGAGCCCGTGTCCCGGCGCACCGAGCTATCCATCGACATCTCGTCCAAGCAGGTGGAGAACGCCGGCGCCGCCGGGCCGTCCCGGTTCGGGCTCAAGCGGGCCGAAGCGCTGGGCCACAAGACGCCGGAGCCCACCCCGCGGAGGACGGAGATCACCATAGTCAAGCCCCAGGAGCCAGCCCACCGGAGGATGGAGGCCCCCGCCTCCAAGGTCCCCGAGGTGCCCACCGCCCCCACCGCTGATGCTGCCCCCAAGAGGGTGGAGATCCAGGTGCCCAAGCCGGCCGAGGTGCCCGCCTCCCCTGTCCCAGCCCAGACCCTGGAGAATTCAGAGCCCACCCCGATGTCTCAGCTGCAGAGCAGGCTGGAGCCCAAGCCCCAGCCCCCCTTGGCCGAGGCCCCGCCCAGGAGACAGGAGGGTGAGTAGCAAAGGGCCAGCGTGCCGATGGGGGTGGCAGTTGGGGGCGGCAGCTGATTTGCCGTGGAATCCTGGAGAAGGAAGCTTGGGGTCGGCGGTGGGGGGGCGCTGTGCTTTTGCAAAGACCTGGAATACAGGGGTGAGTGATCAAAGGCTCAGGGGAGCGGACTCGGTTCTTTCTGTCCATGGAGGACGGACCAGGTGCAGCAAGCTGGACTTGAGTTAGACTTTGGAAAGAACCTCCAGGTTTTCAGGGGCCCCCTTTTGTAGGCCGTGCTGTGGAAGCTGCGCTGTGTGAGCCCAGGACAGTGGGGGCTGGGAGCCTGGACAAGAAAGGAAGAGGGCGTGTGATCCAAGAATGGGCTCTTGCGTTCTCAGGGTCCTCGGGCCCAGGGAGGCGTGGCAGGCAGCCCTGCGAATACCTGGCAGGGGCTGAGGCCCGGGGTGGAGCGGGGGCTTCATGCCCTCCCAGGGTTTTGCGCTGGAGGGTCTCCCACCTCCTCCCCCAGAGGCGAGGGGCCCACGAGAACGCCTAACCTCCGCGCCCTGAGACCCTCTGCGTCGCGGGGCAAGGCCCCTGGCCCAGGGGTCCCCACGATGCCTGCCCACAGCGATGTTTGGGGCTGCTCTTCTGGTGAGGGGGGGACGGAAGCCAGAGGCTTGGGTACTGTCCCTGGAGCACCGCAGCCTGGACTTGGCTCGCTTGGGGGGCTTCCGGGGTGGCCGTGCCGATCCCTGCGGGCCCTGGGACTGGCTCTGTGCCGGTGCCGGCTGGGTTGCAGGCTCCACGGAGCCGGGTCGGGTCTGGTCTCAGGCCTCGGACTCAGTAAATGTTCACGGGGTGTTTTTTGGATGGGACAGACAGAACATTCTGGGGTTTTGACTTACTTTTGCAAAGTCATTTTTAATTACGGTTACACTACATGGAACACAAAATCGGCCCTTTTACCCACGTGTACGCGCACAGCTCCGTGGCGCTGGGGGCCTTCGCGTTGTTGTGCGGCTGTCACCCCATCGTCTCCAGAACTTCTCCGTCGCCCCAAGTGGAAGCCGGAGCTCGCTATACACCCGGGTCCCTTCTTGCTCCCCCACGCCCGGCACCCACCACCTACTTCATGTCTCTGAATCTGACCGCTGTTGGCCCCGTACATCCGTGGAAGCGTACAGTACGTGTCCTTTTGTGTCTGGCTGGTTCCTGAGCACAGTGCGCTCGGGTCCGCCCACGTCGCTGCAGCTGTCTGGGTTCCCTTCCTGTTCGGGGCTGGTATTCCGTCGTGTGGGGCACCACGTTGTGTTTATCTGTCTTCCGTTCAGGGACATCGGGCCGCTTCTGCCCCTTGGTGCTGTGGCTAGTGCTGCTGTGACCACGGGCGCGCACATGTCTCTTCAAGTCCTTGCTTTCAAATCCTTCTGTTATTTGATCTTATTTTTTGACAAAGACTTTTCCAATGGTCGGTGGACTTGGGGACTGGAGGGCACTTGGCTTGCGATGGGGTGGGGGTGTTGGGCGACCTACTGTGTTCTGTTCAAGTGAATGTTTATTTGGAGGAGGTCGCGGCAAGGGGTAGGGAGGGCCGAGACTCTGCATTTCCTACGGCGCTGGGAACCCCGAGCGGCCTGGACCACAGGGCCTTGGAGGTCCCTTCCGGCCCTGGTTCTGTGTGACTCTGCTTTCGCTCCCTTCTCTCTAAACTTGACCCTGCAGAGCCACTCCCTGGTGCACTGAGTGGACGAAGGCACAGCCAGTGTTTGGGGAGTGGCCGGCGACCGTTTCCTCCCGGTCTTCTGTTGGTCAAGGGCCTTTGGCACTGGACCCGTCCCCCTCCTGGGGGTGAGGTGTTCACACTCAGCCCAGTCAAACAGGATGTGGTTGGGAGATGGTCATCGCTGGCTGTCCCGGCCGTGATGACAGCTGGTGCTCGTTGTGCCAGGAGGTGGTCCTGGCTCTGGGGGATGGGCAGGGGGTGTCTGCCCTGGGTCACCGGCCTGCCCTGGCTCAGTGGGGGGCGGTGGGGGGGACTACGGGAGCAGGATGGCGGTGGTGGGACCGGCAACAGTGTGGGGAGGCTTTCCGGGAGAGGGGCCCCTGCCCCCGAGGTTTGGGGGGTCTGACCAGGCAAGAGGCGGGAGAGAAGCATTCCCAGCCAGGGCCGCGGTCCAGAGGTGTTGGGGAGCCTGAACCCAAGGGAGCCGTGGAACTTCTCCGCAGAAAAGAATGCAAATGTCTGAGCGGGTGTGAGGGCAGTTGGCAGCATCCCAGACCCTGTTGCCCCTCTGGGCGTGGCCCGTGAGGATGGGAGTCACGTGGAGGGGCCCCAGGCCAGCGCGGCTGTCCTCCAGCCCTCGCCCCTGGGCACCAGCTGGGGGGTGGGGGATGTGCTCTTCGTGTTTATACACACACGTGCCTGTACCCCAACCCCGTGTCTTAGCGGCTGTGTGGGGCGGGGCCCTCTGAGACCAGTGCCCACCTGTTGAGAACCTTAGAACCTTTAGGCTGAACGGAAGCAGTGGGACTGGGCGGAGGGGGCGGGGTTTGGACAGACACTGTGAAGAGGAAGAAGCTCCGTGGAGGAGGCGGGGCTTGGATGCATGACTCACTTCGGGAGGCTCCTTCCTCCTCCAGGAGTGGGCGAGGCCCTCTGAGGGCCGGACTGGGGCCTAGACCCACCTTGGCGTCCTGTCTGAGGTTGTGGGCAGGTCGGTGTGGGGGGCAGGCTTTCCTGGTGGGGGGCGCTCCTGGAATCCGTTGCCGTGGCTCCTGGGGGCCCAGGCCTGCGTTCCTGCCCAGCCTCTGCTCTGTCTGCGTCTGCCTTTCTCCTTTCTCCGCCGCCTCTGGTGCTGGTCTGCGCAGCCCCTGCAGAGGCACATCCTGTCCTCCCCCAGCCCCGCTTCTGGCCCATCTCTCCTGCAGGCCTGGCATCCCTATCGCCTTCCCCCCTGCCTTTAGGGGGTGGGCAGAGAGCTCTGGGAGCCCCCCACCCTGAAGGCCCACGCTGACTGCCCTTCCCGGCACACTACCCCTTGCACAGCTGGCCCTGCAGGGGCAAAGGTTCGGAGCAGAGGAGCTCTGTGCCCTCTGGCCAGACTCTCCGCCCTCTGCCTCTGCCTCCAGGAAGCCTTCCAGACTGGCTGCAGGTGCAGGACCAGGTGTCCTGGGACCCCAAATGAGTTGCTCCCCGACTGACGCCCCTAAACGCAGCGCTGATGGAATTCCCGCCCGCTCTGACCCTTCGCTGGCGCGCTCAGCCCGGGCCTCCGCGGGCCTTCGCCCCCCTGCCCAGCTGCCATCGCCTGCTCCTGAGCCCCTCCCGCCGCAGTCCCCCCGCGCCTCCCACAGGCCCCTCTCCTCACAGCTGTTCTGCTCTGACCTTCTGACCCCTGACTTTGCTCTTCTTCACGTCACTCACTGCTCTTTGAACTCCTCTGCATCCCTCCAAGCCCAGCTCCGATGGCACCTCTTCCATGCAGCCCTCCCACTAGCTGGAAGTAGCCTCCCTCCCCCCGACTCCTGGCCTTTTCCCTCCTGCTCATGTATGATATCTCGTGTTTAGCTTGGAATATAAACTATTCGTATGTGAACCTTCTTTCCTTTGCTGGAATTCTTAATGTAAAAAAGTAGCTCTTCGTAGTATCTTTAAATTCAGAAAATACAGAAATTAGAAAGAAACTAAGATTCACCTGTAACCCAGCTATATCTACTTTTTTTTTTTTTTTTTTTTTTAATATCCACTCTTAATGTTTGCTATATTTTCTTCCAAATTCCCTCTCTGCCCCCCACTGGATTCTAGGTTACTTGAGGGTCGGGCTGTTGTCTTTGTTTTTTGTTTTGGGGGTTTTTGTTTCTTTGTTTTTAGAGAGAGGAAGAGAGGGAGAGAAACATCAGTGTGCGATAGATACATTGATAGGTTGCCTCTCACGCTCCCCCAGCCGGGGACCTGGCCCACAACCCAGGCCCGTACCCAGGCTGGGCATTGAACCAACAACCTTTCAGTTCTCAGGCTGGCGCTCAGTCCATGAGCCACACCAGCCAGGCCTGTTTTCTGTTTGTAAGGATCCCGTAACATACCGAGGAAGTGGGACACAGCAGGTGCGCAGGAAACAGTGTTGGAGGAGCGCAACGAGGTGGCCTTTGTCGCTCCCGCAGGCTGATGCAGGGACCCCAGGGGACCCTCCAGGGACCAGGCAGATACTTCTCTGGTCAAATAAGGACCCACAGCGCTGACCCTCTCCACTCTGGCACGTTGGGTTCTGGGTTCCTGAGGCTGCGGCCCCCTCCCTGCACCTGACTCCCTCCTCGTTTTCCTGTCCTCCTCCCGGGTCATCTCTGCTCCTCCCTCAGCCTCTGGGCAGGAGCAGCCTTGCCTCCTCTCCCAGGTCCCCGCCCTCCCCCTGCCTCTGCCTGGGTGGCTCTGGATGGGCCAGGCTGTGGAACCCCGCCGCTGGCTCCGCCTCACCCTGGGAGCCGCTCCTCTGGCCAAATGCTGACACCCGCCAAGCTTCCCGAGGTGGCCTTATAAGGCGGGCGCTGGCCACTCACTCACAGGCCTGGTTCTCTGCTGTTGCCGGGTGCTCATAGGAGGCCCTGGGGAGGGGGGCAGGGTGCCAGGGCCTGGTGGCGAGTGGGTGTCCCCGACCGGAGCCCAGCTGAGGCATCGGGGGGTGTCCTGACTCAGTTTCTCTACCTGTCAAATGAGGGAAGGGCTGGCCCTGCTGGCCCAAGGCGGCCTGAGCTTTCCAGGTGCCCATTCCCTGGTGGCACCAGGAGCCACCTGTGATGGGGCATGAGATTGAGGTGGGGCGACTGAGCGAGTGTCTTGATAGGTTTTCTCTCTGACTAAAGCCATCTAGAAATGTCCTTGGTCACAGGGAAGGGGCCTCCTTATCTGAGCTGTCCTGAGGCCCATTCACACCTAGGTCGGCCTCCCACTGCCGGAAGGAGGACCCCGCTGGAGGAGGGGCCAGGCCCAGGTGTGTCCTTCAAGGTGGGGCAGAGCAGGGGGC